TAAACGGTTTTTAAACTTTTAAACCTTTAAACTTAAACCTACTTACGTTAGTAGTTACTTACTTTACTTACTTAATTACTTTATTTATTTATTAATAGTAATATATATATATATATATATATATATATATATATATATATATATATATATATATATATATATATTTTTATCAACAACAAGTCAACACTTATAATTATCATATGTCGTCCTGTCGAGGAATCACAGACCTGAGTGGCTGCACCCCTCCTGGGAAGGCTCTCGTGGGGCCGGCATCCTCTCAGCTCGCTGGAGCCCTTCTCTCCTTCCATCGGGGCTGGGGAGACAGTGCTGGTCTACGAAGTACGGCAGAAGGTCTAGACCTTTACCCTTGGAATTATCTTGCTTTCCCAGCTCTGGTTAAATTTTGCCTTCCATATCTCAATATTTCCACGATTAGAGCATGGAAAAAGAAACTTAGAAAAGGTTTCACCTTTGCTATTAAAAAGTTATGACCTTTGCTCACATTTGCCAGAGAAAGTGGCGTATAGCACCAATTAACATGAATTATTAACTCCCAGATTAATAATTTATTAGAAACCTAACGGCCCTGGGTACCACCAGATTGCACCATTGAAGGAAAAACGAAGAAAACAACATAGCTCTAATTGTAACAGTTTGTTGGCCATGCTTAGAGTAAGTGATGGCATTTAGACTCTCTAAAGGATTTTTAAATTTCTCCTCTAATACTATACTGGCTGCAAAGTCAGACAAATTAACGAATAACTCCTATAATGACTGGTGTAGATGTTGATTTTTTTAAAAAAATTATTTAACAAATACTCATATTCCTTTTCCTTCATGTCCACTTGTATTCAAAGCACTTGCACACGTTCCTTCTTTAATCCTCCTAATGACCATCCGAGTTAGACACTGTTCCTGTCATCCCCATGTGCCTGAAGCTTTGCCCAGTCACACAAATACAGGATAACTGGGTGTATTCGTTTGCACATAGGGCTGCCGTGACAAAGTACCACAAGCCAGGTTGCTTAAACAGCGGAAATGGATCGGCTCACAGCTCTGGAGTCCAAGATCCAGAAGTCCAGGATCAAGTCGTCTGCAGGATTGTTCCCCCGTGAGGCTGTGAGGGAAGTCTGCTCTGTGCCTTGCTCTGAGCGTCTGCTGGTCTGCTGACCATCTCTGGTGTTCCTGGATGCGCAGAATCACCACCGCGATCTCTGCCTTCATCTTTATGAGTCATTTTCCCTGTGTGTGTGTCAGTGTGTCCAAATTTCCCCTTGCTATAAGGACACCAATTGTATTTCCTTGAGGCCCACCCTAATTATGTAATTTTAACTTGATTACCTCTGTAAAGACCAGATCTCCAAATGAGGTGACATCCTGAGGGGTCAGGGGGTTAGGACTCCAACCTAGGAATTTTGGGAGGCAGGGAGTGGGCACAGTTCAACCCATAACACTAGCAGAGCTGGCGTTCACACCCAGGAACTCTGGCTTGGGTCTGAGTGCTTAGCTACCATGCTAAGCTGTCTCCCTTCTTTTTTTTTTTTTTCGTGATAGGATATTCTTTTTGAACATAAACGCTCATAAAAGCAAGTTCAATTTAGAGCATCTTATTGACTATTTCCAAGAATTGTCCTTATCATGGTGACTACAGGGGACAAAATCTTCTTGAGCTCAGGCTGGGATCTGGTTAATTTAGGGGATCAGGCTGGCTTATAGCTCTAGTCTCTTGAAATTCCCTTCAAGCTCCAAGCCCACTGTGTTTTGAAATCCAAAAGCTCTTTCTGCCCTTTCCGTTTGACTCTGGAGCATATGTTTTCTTAAATCCACATTTTAAAGGTATTTTAGGAGGCAGAGGGAGAGGCCTAATTACTTCCCTTTTTCCTTTCAAATTCCTGTTTCTTGGAGCCATGATTAGGTAATGAAGCACTTCGTTACCTTGCAAATCGACGTGACCTCATCATATCCTGAAATGGAAAGAGAGAAACCAAAAGGTCATGAGTTCTGATTCTTTGGCCTTTTGGCTTGACAAGGAAGCAAAGCTTGAAACCCCCTGTTCCCTAATGGAGGCGGAAACAAAGAAAAATAAAGGAGGAAAAGGAGAATCAAGAAAAGTTAAACAGTGGACAAAATAATTTTGCAAATAAAAATAAAAATCAGGTTTGGGATTTAGGAAATTGTGCCTTGCTTCTTTAAATGACACTTTTCTAAGGAGAACAATGAGAGCTCATACATGGTTATTCTGTGATGAAACCCTTCTTATCACTTCATTCCCTCCAGCACCTGGCTCACCCTGACAGCCATCTGCGAGATTCATTGTCAAGATCAGATTCCCGAGAACATATGGTACATTTGGCTCCCTACCTCAATATTTTTAGGATTTTCTCCTTTCTTTCTGTTTCTTTATGAGTGCAGACTTAATAGCATTTTAATGCGATTTATGACTCAGACTACTTGTTTTTTTTTTCCTCTTTGAAACAAAGACTATGATCAAATCATGCAAGAGGGTGCCAGGTAGATTATAGGAATTCATTCCCATCTTGCTTGAATAAATTGTCCATCCCTTGCAGTGTGTTTACCAATTTGCTCTGTTCTGAAGGCAGATGTCATGGAGTCATTTCTAAATTGACTCTAAGGAGAGCAGGAGGCACAGAGAGGTCATATCCTAGGGTAGAGTGAGTTCAGAGAAAAGAGGAGCAAAGGTCAGGGCTTTGTGCTGCTGGGGTTTTCAATGAGGGACATCAGATTTGTTTAGGATTTCTGCTCCATGCCTTGAAATGACTGGCCTAGAAGTCTGATCAGGCTCCTACTTCCCCTCACTCTGTTAGGAGCTTCTCTTCTTTGGGAGCCCTAACAAATGTCAATCCATACAGAATCTAGCAAATGGTAGATCACAAACATGGCCACAGTCCTTTTCTTGTCCCCGTATCTGTGTCCCCTGTAACAAGACTGTGCAACTCTCCCATTAAGGGGTGGAGTCAGAGTCAGTTTCTCCTACTTTTGAATCTGGGCTGCCCTGTGATTTGCTTTAACTAACAGAACCCAGCAGAAGTGAGGTGTGCCATCTCTGAGCCTTGAACAAGAGCTCAAAATATCTCATACCTGGCTATTCTTTCTTGGAACCCTGCCCAGATCCCCTGTAGATAAGACCAGGGTTGTCTGTTGGAGAATGAGTGACCACATGGAGCAAAGGTAGGATATCTCAGCAGAGACCATCCAAAACCAGCCTGTCTCTGGCTGACACGGCAGCTAAGCACACATGCATGAGTGAGCACAGGCAAAGTCATTGGGACCCATCCAACTGAACCCAGTCTAAATTGTTGACCTAATGAATCATAAGCTAAATAAGTGGTTGTTGCTTTAAGCTACTAAATTTTGGTGTGGTTTGTTATGCAGCAAGAGCTAACTGACACACTGCCTGGAAATATAATCACATTTTATGTTTTTTGTGCACTTTTGTTGTTGATAACCCTTTAAGTGTGTCAACAAATATTTACGTGTACAGAAAACCTAGCATTGTTACTGTCACTTCTGCTACTTGTGGCAGGGTGATCATTGCTAGTGGAGTCTATCATAAGTGAATCTTTATATCACCTTTAGGCTTCCTTCTTTGTAGTGAGAGATGCGAGATGCATTATTTTGTCCTTTACTTTGGATAGGATGTCCTGGGCCACTAAAACTTGTACTGCTGTAGTAACCCTGAATCTTCATAGAGTTTATCTCTCATCCCCTGGAACACATGGATCTTACTAAAGCCTCCAGTGTACTAGCTACTACTTGCTCACCTGGCCAGACTAGAATGATGCTATCAATATGATGTTCTGTAGGATGTTCAGATGTCCAGCTCTCTTCAGACTTTATTATGACAGAAGGTAGAAGAGGTAACATAGTCTTGAGGCAAAACTGTAAAAGAATAGTTTTGTCCTCTCAGTTTGAATGCAGTCTGTGATCTTCTTTTCTGATAGACCTTTACCAACTCCATGACTACATAGCATATCCCTGAGACCTATTAATCTCCCCAACAAAGACCCCATGTTTGATGTGGCAGCAGCACTTGGGGCTACTACTTTGTTGAGTCTGAGTAATCTGCTATCATCCTCCAGGATCCATCTGGCTTCTTCAGGGGCCAGATTGATGAATTAAAAAGAGATATGCCAGAAGGAACAGTAATTCGAAAAGACACACACACCCCAATGTTCATAGCAGCGCTATTCACAATAGCCAAGACATGGAAGCAACCTAAAAGTCCATTGACAGATAAATGGATAAAGAAGATATGGTGTATATATACAATGGAATACTACTCAGCCATAAAAAAGAATGAAATAAAGCCTTTTACAGTAATGTGGATGGACCTGGAGATGGTCATACTATGTGAAGTAATCTAGAAAGAGAAAGAAAAATACCACCTGCTAGCACTTACATGTGAAATCTAAAAAAGACACAAATGAACTTATTTACAAAACAGAAACAGACTCACAGATGTAGAAAACAAATCTATGGTTACCAGAGAGGGAAAGGGGTGGGAGGGGATAAATTGGGAGTTCAAGATTTGCAGATACACACTGCTATATATAAAATAGATACACAAGTTTATACTGTATATCACAGGGAACTATATCCAATATCTTGTAGTAACCTATAATGAAAAAGAATATGACATGGAATATATGTATGACTGAAACAGTATGCTGTACACCAGAACTTGACACCACATTGTAAACTGACTAGACTTCAATTAAAAAAGGAGATATGAAAGGGCCGACAACCCCTGTTTCCTTTAGATCTTTGAGGATAGAAATAATCTCTGCTATCCTCTCCTGGTATGTGGTTTTTTTTTTTATTTAGTATTA